TTTTTTTCTGTCCTTTGACTTTTAATCTGTTTTTGCCTCTGTGTGTGCGATGTGTCTCTTGCAGACAGCATATTGAAGGATCTTGTTTTCTTACCCATTCTGCCACTCTCTGTCTCTTTACAAGTGCATTTAATTTGTTTACATTCAGTGCAATTATGGATAAGTATGGATTAATTGCTGCCATTATGTTTGTTTTTTTTGTGGTGTTGCTGCTTTTTTTTTTTTGTTCTGTGTGTCTTCCTTTGTTGAGTTCATGCTTTTTGTGTTCTTTCTTTTGAGTTTCCTCATAGTTTTAATGTTTCCATGTTCTTCTTAGATTTTCATTTTCTTGGTATTTTGTGAAGTGTTAATTTTCTTTGAGGTTACCTTATAGTCCATTAACTTTTCTCTCCATTTAGTGCAGTCTATTTTATCCTGTAATTTATCTGACCTTCTCATTATCTCTATCTCTGTTCCTATGTGTTTACCTTGTTTTACATTGTAGTTGTTTGGATCATAGACTGATCTCCCCGATTCTCTGAGTTTGTTCTTATAGTTTTGACTTTATTTCCTTGATCTTCCTATTGTTGATTTCTTGACTCTTCCTTCTGTTGATTCTGGGAGGTGCTGCCACGTATGCCAATCTATGGTTGTTGCCTCTTCTTGTTGATTCTCAGTCTACAGGACTCCCTTTAAGATGTTTTGTTGTGCAGGATTGGCTTTGGTAAAACCCCTTAGTCTGTTTATCCTGGAATGTTTTGATTATACCATTGTATTTGATTGATAGCTTTGCTGGATAAAGGATTCTTGGTTTGCAGTTTTTTTCTTTCAGGGTTTTACATATGTCTCCCCATTGCTTTCTTGCTTGCATGCTTTTTGCTGAGAGATCAGAGTTTAATCTGACTTACTTGCCTTTGTATGTGACACATCTCTTTTCCCTAGCTGCTTTCAGGAGTGTCTCCTTATATTTGTTTTTGGAAAGCTTGATTATGATATGTCTTGGTGATTTTCTTTTGGGGTCTATCCTTCCTAGGGTTCATTCAGCTTCTTGAAAGTTTATCTTTTCACTTTTCAGGATGTTAGAGAAATTTCTTCCAGCAGTTCAACTCTTTACCCTGTGGACTTATGTGATTCTTCTTGTTCTGGAATGCCAATAATTCTTATTTCTCTTCATGTTGTCCAACATGAATCTTATAACTTCTTCAGATTTTTTTTATCCTCTTTTTCTGTTTGCTCTTCTATCTTAGTGGTATTGGTAGCTTTGTCTTCCAGCTCACAGGTTCTGCCTTCCATCTCTTCTATTTTATGCCTTTGCCCTTTCAGAGTATTGTCTATTTCTGATATTCTATTATTGATTGTTTGGACCTCTTTCTGTAAGTTTTGGATTGTTTACAATGCTGTATTTATCTTATTTGATTGTTCCTGTAGCACTTTCCTGACTTCTTCCTTATTTTTCTCAACTCTATTGTAAAGTGTTTTGAAACATTTTATAAACATTTTTCTGAATTCCTTTTCAGGCATTTCCAAGGCCTGCCCTCCTTCCAGAATGGAGTTCAGGTCTACCTCTAGGTCATTTGTCTCAGACACTTTATCTTGTTTCTGGACATGTACTGATATGGTCATCTGTTTTTGCTTCTTGGACATATTTAGTTTTTCTCTGTGGCCTTAATACTTAATTCAGTATGCTCTTTTACTGTTTTTTATGCTTTCTGATTGTTTCCAGGTAGATGTGATCAGGACGTGGGTTTCCCTTTTCACTCTTCTTATTGCTTAACTCAGAGTAACTTTCACAGGTGTTGTCTGCCTCCCTGATAATGGCAGTTGGTATTGGTTCTTGCCTGTGTTTTGGTGTTTTATATAGTGTGATTGTAGCTTGAATATAAGGCAGCAATTGCTGTCTCTTCTTGGATAATTTAGGGAGAGAAAGAGTCCCCTAAAAGTGGAAGGGGGAGCATAAAACAACAAAACAGCACCATCCAAAAAAAGAAAAAGACAATACCAAAAAGCAACAACAACAACGAAAAGACAAAACTAGACTGAGTGCTGTAGTCTATAGTTGTAGGAAAAGGAGAGGAGTGAAACAAGGGGGAAAAAAAATCAGTAGCCTAATATGAGTATGCCTTTAATGTCCTCTCTGCAGCTTCTTGCCTTCAAAGCTGGCTGAGTGATTTCAAGATGCCATTGTTGGCTATTATGCTAATCTAATTTTCGGCCTGTTTTGTTTTTAAACTCTCTTTCCCTCTCTATTTACTTGTCCTGGCCATTCCCATATTTAAAACAAACAAATAAATAAAAAATAAATAGTTCAGGGCCAGCGCTTGGGCTGAGAATATCTTTTCACATGCATGGCAGAAGAACCCATCAGTGGTGAGTATGTGGGATGTCACTAACTCAGACACCCCCTCTAGTCACCAGAATGGAAGAACACAAGCACTGGTGGTGCCAATGAACAGATACCAAAACATAAGAAAGTCAGAACAAAGCAAAACTGACAAAATGTATTGTCCACCTTTGCTCTGAGGTTCCTGCAGCATTTTTCTATGGTGTGTCTGCTCCCCCAATTACTATTGCCATTTGGTTTTGCCCAAGATGTCATCTGGTCCAGCCGCTGAGCCCAGCAGATTTAAAAATATGCAATTTTTACTTTTGCTACAAGTTCCACTATCTATAAGCCTTCAAACCTTTTAAACATTCCTGTCTTTGTGAATCTGAGTTTTGGAGCTCAGCCCTGAATCTTCTTTGCCTTCTATTCTGTGGTATTGCTGACAGCGAACTTCACTGCACTTCCACCCTAGCCACCATCAAGCCCTGACTCTCTCCATTATCCTTTTATACTGTTTGAGGAATACTGTAATCAGAAGGTTTCTTTATCACCTACCACCGATGGAGCCAATATTCAGACACAGGACTCAGAGAAAAGAGCAAAGTGTTTATTGAGTATCAATACCCATGAGAACAAGTGAGTGGAATATCTTTACTGTCTTTCTAAGGAAAAAGTAGAGGGAGGATTTATAGTGATCTTGTGTTTGGGTAGGAGCCTGAGTAATTTCAGAAACTTCTTTGTTGCTTTGTTTATCTCAAGTCTCACTAACCATTTTGGATATGTTATCTGTGATAGATACTGTTGGATTTTTCTCAGTGACGGATATCAGTGGTCTTCACAAGAAATAGGTATCTGTTTTCCCCACTTTCTGGGATAGTTCTTGCAGAATGAATTAGCTAGCAACTAAAAGAAGAAATGATTAATATCTAAAAAAAAAAAAAAGATATTATGTGTTATGTAATAATTGATTATGGTTTATAGGTAGGGAAGAAGCTATGTTTTAACTATATCTTTTATGGTTATCCTGATCTCAAATTACCTTGGTCAAGCTAAAACTTGCTGGGTGCCCTTAGTTTCTCACTGCCCCATTTCAATTGCTACCTGTTCATTTCTCAGTCTTGGAAAATGGAAAGATACTTCTCTCTGGCTACTTTGTGCTAAATGGGGGTACCATGAGGCATAGTCAAGGGGATGAACCCAAGCTGACAATTGTCTCTTCTTTCTGAAATGGAAGAAACATCTTTCAACTGGAAAAAATTTTACTTTACCCTGGGAGTATAGCTTACATATGCCTTCATGTCCTATTGAATCTGAACTCATTTATACCACATTCATTTAATGGTGTAGTGCTGCAGTGAATGTGGAAATTTGTGACTCTGAGGGTCAGACAATGCCAAGTTCATGATGGGAAGCTCAAGTTGCATGGTGACTAGGCGGTCTGTATTTGGGCATGCAGTCCCCACTAAGCCCCAGGACCACTCATCTGTCAGTTTGTTTTACTGTGGTGAGTCACGTGTTGCTGTGGTGCTGGAGGCTGTTCCATCAGTATTTTGAATACCAGCAGTCACACATGCTGAGCAAGTTTCAGGGAACTTCCAGTCTATGACAGACTAGGAAGAAGCAGAGGGAGACCACCTCTGAATGTTTACAGACTCAAAATCTTATGACTGGCAGCTGATCATTGTCAAATACAGTACCAGGAGATGAAAACATGATGATTAGCAACAAAACATGGTCAAATATACTGCTGGAAGATAAGTTCCTAAGGTTGGAAGTCACTGAAAATGCTATTGGGCAAGAGAAGTCTCCTCAAAGTAGAGTTGACTATGATGATGCAAATGGAGTAAAGCTTTCAAGACCTTAATTTGGTGATGATGTACAACTCAAATATGAAAAGAAGCAGCTGTAAACATCTATTAAAAATAAGAACATGGAATGTTCAAAGTATGAATCTAGGAAAATTCGAAATTGTTAAAAAAAAAAAAAGAAGTGGAACATAGAAAGATCAATATCCTCGCATTAGTGTGTTGAAATGAACTGGTAACAGCCATTTTGATTCTGACAGTCATATGGTTTACAATATTAGGAATGACAAATTGAAGAGGGATGGCATTCATTGTCCAAAAATGCATTTGACTTGGCTGCAGTCAATTTTGAGTGCCTAGTCTGCCAGAAGCAGAGACCAACACTGAGTCTGTGATATGGTACCATTCATACTCTGGTGGGATCAGTCAACAAACTGATATCAGGTTGATTATATCAGGCTATTTCTATTGTACAAAGCACAGTTAAGAATGCCCTGTGGCCACTTTGGGTTTCTCATGCAGAAATGAGGACTGTAATTGCTATGAGTATGTATTCCTTGTATGTATGCATCACATATTTTGTCTAGTTAACTTATAAAATATAAGATGTAAATTGGTTTAGTGAAAATTATGCTTCATAATGTGAATAGTTTTGCTTGTATCTTTTCTGTGAAATTTTCATTATCTTCTATTTGCCCACTTTCTATTTCTTAATTAATCTGATGAAAACTTAGTTTGAGGAACACAAATTTGTTTATCACTTTGGTAATATTTATTTTAAAGGTTTTCCTCAATGAAACAAAGATGATATATATTTTTTAAATGACCAACTATATTCTACTCTTAAGACAAAAGAAGCCACTTTTTATAGTTTCTGCTACAGGAATTCTAATCTATTTTATACGTGAGCTGATAATTTTCATCCCTACCCCAATAAATTTACTAGCACCAGGTAGTACAATTAATGTATCGCCAATTACATCGAGGAGATTTGAAAATCCTGAATGATTCTTTGCTGCTTCAATCTCTTTTTGTAGTTTATCTATCTCATTATTTAACTCCTCAGACTTCTTTTTAAATCCTTCCATAAGCAATTCTTCTTGGACCTATAAAGGGGAAAAAGTAACTTTGAAAAACAAATATCAAGAGTAACAGTTTTGTCCTTTGGAAAATAAAAAGCAATGTTTAATGGAAATTAATTTCCAGTTTCAACTGAGGAAGTGTGGTCACAAACATTTAAAAAATAATGAGAACTGCTAATCCTGTATAGTAAACTGCTTACTAAGATCCAGATCAAGACAATGAATGTATATTACTCTAAGTTGCATAGGATGACTCAGTCAGATTTGGAAACAAACACACAAGGTGTCAGAGCACTCTGTCTTTCATGAGAGGGCAAATCTAATACTTTCAAGACATTATGGATCTCCTTGCGGTCTCTTTGATGTAGTATTAGGAATCATAAAGACTATAGGACTAAGGTAATATTCAAATAGGGCACAATGAGATTATTGTGCAATTGCAGCAAATAGCTGTGCATACTCTTTGTCTTCTCCAAAGACTAACAAGGAAGAAGGCGCTAGAATCTTGGGGACTTAAGGAGTTCAGTAGCATCCTGATGGATTGCAGATTTTAGCAAACCAAATACCTGTATTCTTCCATTGGAGACCACAGTTTTGCTTTACATTTTGACCCTTTTCTTCTTTAGGTACCAGGAAAATGTCTGTCAGACACAGCCCAGACCCAGGATAGACTTACCTTCAGTTTATGTTCCAGCACCCTTTCCTGCTCTCTTAGGAGTGCTTCTCTGTCCTTTTCCATCTTCTCTTTCAATTGCTCCATGTTTTCTTTGAAGCTCTTCTCTTGAGCCTCCATCTTTTGTTGCTGCTCCTTCTGTTTCTCTTTCAGCAGCTCCTTCTCCTTCTCTATCGCCTCCATCTTGGCCCGTTCCGCTGTCCCACAAAGGATGTAGGGAGAGAAGAGAACAAGTCAAGCCTGAATCTCTACCCTCCTGACATAAGGCATCAAACTGACTGAAAAAAGAAGAGTATAAGTCTCTGTATTCTTTTGGTATACACATAACCAAAGGCACTTCAGAATAACTACAACTTCCCTGGTTACTTTCAGACTCAGTAGAACATGTTTTCATTAAAAAATGGGAATCTCCACATTTCAGATAATCTTATTCTTCAATCCATCAGAGCACCTTTCAGGAAGCTCCCCACTCCTTAGTGGGATGAGTCCAGCCACTGTACCTGCTATGACCTTCTCCCGATCTGTGAGGGCTTTGTCTGATTGCAGGATGGATTCTTCGACTGGTGCCTGTGACTGCAAGAATCTCTGGAGGACCTCATTTGCCTGAGGAAGCAACAAGAAGTAAAGCCACTTCAGGCAGTAGAGATCTAGCCTCTTGTTGTGAAAGAATTGTGCCCTGAAACTTCAAACATGACTCTGAATTGTCTAAAATATGTTTAGCATAACCCAGAACTTCCTTTTTTTTCTGTGAACCCAATGTAAATTCCAAATCCATTTAAGGCTGTGAAAATCCCTCAATCACAGCCTCTTTTCTATCTCTCTAGCCTCTATTCCCAGTGATACTGTCCACTTTCCTACCAGGAAACACACAATCAATTATGTGTGTAGTTCTCAAAACACATAACATATGTTGTTTTCATAGACTTGAAAATTCTGTTTCCTCCTTTCTTAACAAGGGTGAAATGGTATGACACAGTGGCAACAGCAATCATCTCAAATGTAATAGCAATTGTGAGGATGGTGAAGGATCTGGTAATTTCCATTCTGTAGTGCATAGTGTCTCTA